TTAGTCCCCTTTTCTTTTGAAAAATTATTTAAAAACAAATTAATTTTAAAATTAACATTTTTCCGTTTTGTTTTTGATTTTTTTTCTTCAGCACATGGCAACACTGTCACCGGAATGTCTGTGTCATTCGGATGCATATCAAAGAATATTCTTCTAAAGCTGTTGAATGTTTATGGATGAGTATAACTTTTCTGCTTCTACTACTCGACTCGGTGAGTCCCTTTTGTTATTGTTCATGGTGTTGTAGTTGTTGTTGTTGTTGCTGCTCTGATTGTCCTCGTTGCATTCATTTATTCTTTCATTCATCGTCAGTATTCAGATTTTTGTATTGTCTTTGCCTGGGCAAAGCTAGCTTTGCCTGGCAGCTAGCAAAGTGAACAACAAACAAGCAAACAAAATAAACAAACAGTCAAACAATATCAACAATATACAACAACAAAAGCAACTATGCAATTTGGTACAAAGCTAACCACAAGCACAAACACTTGGCGACTTTCACTCATACATGTGTGTATGTATGTGAGTGTGTAACGCTCCCACACACTGAGTCTCCAACAGATTTGCTAACAACACAAGGAAAAGTGCAAATAACGGACATGACTTTACACAAAAAAAGATAGACGCACGGGCCCATCCATCCGTCCTTTCATGGCTGGGAAATGTGGGTTAGTGTTTTTGGAGCGCATGAGTTGACTATAACGAATTTTTTCTTCTTTTCATTACAGGTAGACAGGTGTGGTAGAGGGGCAGGAGTTTTTGAGCTGCTGGAAATTTGAATATGTGTGTGAGGCAGATGTATAAACATCAATAGACCTGTTATTGAATGCTGGCTACCACATTTTTAGTTTTAGAAGTCAGGTGTAAACAGATTAGTGGACCCTTTCTTCTTTTTGGGGGGGCTTAAATTGTTTATTGTTTGAAGGAGAGGTTGTTTTTTGAAAAGCTTTCAAAGTTGAGTTTCGTCGAAGTAGATTGGAGAAAAACAGATTTGATGTCATAGGAAAAACGGGAACATTGATGCAACTAGGTGTCGTAAGAGATTTTTGAAAAGGAATATTACAGCTTTGATGAAATAATAGAAAATGATTAGAAATAAACGAAAATTGAAAAAAATGAAAAAAATCGCTCTCCGCAGGGCTTTGAGTGCTGAGAAAAGTTATTCATTATTTCTTCAAATACCCTTGAAGTTCTAGATTAATTGAATCCCCAGTTGCTTCGAAACTGGCAATGTGTTGGGTAGTCGCAGCGTATGCGTTATGTGAAAATGTAAATATCAAGCATACGCTCTGTTGCACCCTGTAGTTATGAATAGAAATACCTTCTGCATACATACAAATCTAAATAACTTACTTTTCTCATTACCAAGTAATGAGTGGCGACATACTATTGGTGTATATGTAAGACTTTAAATATACCTTTATTTTCCGTGGTCCCAAACCACATCCCAATATTCGGTATTTTGATGATATTAGCGATATTATTACCCGGAATTGTTTCAAATTTGAAGTTGAGAATCGGTAATACAGCCTATGACAAAAAAAAATTATGCTGACCCACGTCTTCGTATAGCCACTATATAATAGGTTTCATTTAAAAGGTATTTTTCGACGAAATTTTCCATATGGTGGAGGGTGTTAAAAGTTCAGACCGGCCGAACTTAGCGGCTTTTCATACCCTCAACCATATGGCTAGAGAGGGTATATCATTTGATACGGTCAAAACGTGCCCAGTCGAAATAACGGGCTTAGACTCTAGGTCTCTTTGGACCAAATCTGTTTCAGGACATTTGGAGTCGATCTAGAGATGTCCGTCCGTTCATCTGTCTGGCTGGCTGGCTGGCTAGTGCGCCCGATAACTTTCGAAGGGAATATCCAATTTGGTCCAAACTTGGTATATCGTAATATTGTTTTCAAACTAAGATCGAGTTCGGAAATGGGCAATATCGCTCCACTCCTTCTGGTACCTTCCCCACAAAAGGTCGAATTTTTCAAAAAAAATATTTTTTTGCGCAGAAAGTGAAAGGATAATCCGATTTTGCTCCAACTTTGCAAATCCTAATATTTGCGTCAGTGCTAGGTCAGGTGTGAGAATGGACAATATCCGTCCACTCCATTAAGTACCTCCCCCACAAAGGGTCAACATTTTTTAATAATTACAACTCTTATAAAATGTGATGTAAGCGTCCGATTGTCTTCAAATTTAGCACATACCAATAATTTTGCTAATTCAAGGTTCGGTGTTAAGGTGGAATATATCGGTTTACTCCTTCTGGTACCTTCCCCACGAAAGGTCGAAATTTGGAATATCCATTACTCTCGTAAAACGCGAAATTAACATCCGATTCCATTTAGACTTGGCACATATGATTATTTCCATCAACACAGGATCTGTTATAAAAACAATAGAGATCGGATCTTCCGGTACCTCCCCTACAAAGGGTCTGTATTTTGAATATCCATGAAGGTCATAAAACGCGAAATAAGTATCAGGTTCTCTTCATATTTCACACATCGTTATGGGTTAAATTTGTAATAACCAAAACGATCATAAAATCCGAAATAAGCGTCCGGTTTTCTTCAAATTACACATATCACAATATTTTTATTAGACCAAGGTCTGGTGTGAAGACGGGATAAATCGGTCCACTCCTCCTGTAACCTCCACCTCAAAGAGTCAAAATTTTGAATATCCCTGATAGTCATAAGACGCGAAATAACATCCTATTCTATTCAGACTTGATACATCTCAATATTTCCATCAACACAAGATCTGTTATAAAGATGGTGGAGATCGCACCATTTCTTCTGGCACATCCTAAATGAAAGGCGAAATAAGTATTCAATTCCATCCATCCATCTCTTCAAATACAAACATTTTTGCTAACACAAGATCTGTTGATGATCTGATACCTCACCTACAAAGGGTCACAGTTTCCAATACATATATCTGTCATAACTTGCGGAACAAGTCGGCGATTCTTTACAGCTTGCTATATCTAAATACTTTTTTTAACTAAAAATCTGATATGAATATGTAATTAATCGGAATTTATGATTTCGCATACAATTGGATATAAATGTTCGATTTCCCTCAAATTTTGCACAAAGCAATATTTTTATATGTATTGGATGAAGTGGTCCGCCATATATAGTACCTCACGCATATTTCCATTTTTCCCAGATTTTGCACATATCTCATATAGAGTACAGTAAGTAGTCGATATAGTCCAAATCTGTCACGTTCTAATTATTCATACATCAGTCTTAGGCCAGATACGAATTGGTCAATATTAGTCAACTGCTTCGGAATCTCCCCCATAAAGAGTCAATAGCTTGAATATACATACATAAGTCAAGGCTGGGGTACACATCTGTCGGCAAAACTGACTGATGCTATTTTACTTGTTTTTATACCCTCCACCATACTATGGAGGGTATATTCATTTTGTCATTTCGTTTGTAACTCATCGAAATAATGATCTTAGACCCAACAAAGTATATATATTCTTGATCAGCGCAAAATTCTAAGACGATTTAGCCATGTCCACCTGTCTGTCTGTGTGTCTGCCTGTCTGTTGTTGTCTGTTGGAATCACGCCATCTTTCGAACGAATTGAGATAGAAGGCTAAAATTTTGCACACATGTTTATTTTGCCAGTAGGCAGGTTAAGTTCGTAAATGGGCCATGTAGGTCCACGTTTTTATATAGCCCCCATACAACCGTACCTCCCGATATTCGGTATTTTGACGATTTTAGCGACATTATTCACCGGAAATGTTTCAAGTTTGGTATTTGAAGTTCCAAATGGATAATACAGCCTGAAACAGAAAATTGTCTGTGCAAGTCCAGGTCTTCGTATAGGCCCCATATAGCGGCACCTCCCTATATTCGGTATTTTGATGATTTTAGCGACATTATTTAACGGAATCGTTCCAAATTTGGTATTTGAAGTTCGTAATAGATACTGCAGCATAAAACAGAAAATGGGCCATGTAGGTCCACGTCTTCGTATAGCCCCCATATACCGTACCCCCCGATATTCGGTATTTTGATGATTTTAGCGACATTATTCACCGGAATTGTTTCATATTCAGCATTTGAAGTTCGAAATGGATACTTCTGCCCATGTCAGAAAATTGTCTGTGCAGGTCCACGTCTTCGTATAGCTACATTATAAACAGATTTTTCTTCAAGTTTCGCATTTAAATATTGTAATAACTTATGACAAAAGTTGCCTATGCAGGTACACGTCGTCGTATAGGCATTCGGTATTTTTAAGATTTTAACAGAATTTTTAACGGATTTTATTTATTTATTTATTTATTTATTTCTTTTTTTTTTTTTTTTTTGTGGAAATTGTCAAATTTGTCAAAGGGTATTAAAAGTTCGGCCCGGCCGAACTTACAGCTTTTTTACTTGTTTTTTTTTTTTCTTGGATTTCAATGGCTCGTGAGCTGAGCATATCGCAATATTCCATTCGGCAAATATTGAAAAATAAGCTCAGGGTAAAGCCATTGATCGCTTCAAGTCGCTTCTTTACTTTTCGAACCATTTCTGCTGATGTTGTTGTCACTGGAATACTTTTAACAGCTGTCGGATGAGTGGCTTGGAAATGACAGCAGTCTGAAATTGGTTGCAGTTTTTTCATCTTACCCTGTAGATACAATACGTATAGTATTGTCATATCATTTCATTTTCAATAAAAAATTGTGTGAAACGCCTTAAAGTATGCTACAAAAATGCTTAACAGAATTGTAGAAAAACTAGCTTTACATATGGCTCTAACATTATGTGTATGCTAGCCTATGACAACTCTTTTAATAATCTTGTATTAAAAAAAAAAAACGATTCCTTGCTCAAGTGAATACAATTACTTGCTCTGTTCCAGAACATACTAGTTTCGCAATTTCTTTTTTCGATATCTTATCTGAAAAATCGGCTATCGTTGTAAAAACGTTTACATTCTTGGAGTTCTGGCACAGATCAGGTGTTATTTTATAATTGCTGAAAATAATATAACATTTTATTATATTTTTCGATATGTACGTAAATTTTTTTACAACTAAGGGATATACAATTTGACCATAGCTATTGCCAAGCCCAAATACAACAACATTTTTTTTTTGTACAATTTTTTTAACAATCTCAAAAATATCAATAAGGAACCGTTCACAGAGCGACTCATTCTCGGCGACGTCGGATCATCATCTTCACATTTGTTATTGAGTGATTTGAACCCTTATAGGTCTGCCAATTTATGCCTTTGCCAAAGGTGTTGTCGCCATATTTGCCATTTAAGTTACTGAAAATCACAAGAAATTCTCATTTAAAAGTCCCATTATTACTTGCCTTCCCCTCCACACCTACCTTTGATGACAATTCTTATACCACCATGCGCCCGTATAACGTTGGGCACAATTACTGACATCCTTATCGTGATCCCTATCACGTGCCGTAAATTCCATGTTGACATGACTCTTCAAAGAATCTCCGGCCGTACCGGAATATTTACCCAACGACTTCAAAACATACAATCGCTCCTCATTGCCAATGGCAAAGGAATTGTAACGGGCATATTTATAGACGCCCTCCTCTTCGATGACAACCAACAGCTCCTGCGGTCCCAAATAGTTGGTCAGTGCGTGTAGTTTATCCAGCCCAATGAAAAATTCTCCTTGCAAATTACCAAATCCATCCTTATAATAGATCCAATCACGATAGAAATTTTCAGAGCCATCGTGACGTCGCTGGATGAGTAGCCAACCACCGTTTAAAGTTTTCGCATCGCATTCTACCAGGAAGGGTTCACTGCTGAACTGCTTCACCAAAATTTTGTAGATTCCGTTTCGTTTTATACATGCCGTAGCCTCATCGCAGTTGATAGGGAGTTCCTTGGTTTGACTAGAGTTTTGGGGTTATATGAAAACATACAGAAATTATTGAATATGTGTGCTTATGTTTGCTCTGTTCCAGAACCTTCAAGAATCTGCTATGTTTGCATTTTTTTCGATTTCATAAAGGGAAAATCGGTTATTGTGGAAAAACTTTTACATTCTTGCACCTGTTGCTGCTTGAGTGCTTCATTACGGGTGAGCCTTATATATGTATATTTAATTATATCTGAAACTTACCAATGTTCCGGTATTGCATCGAACCGTATATCAAATATTGTAGTTTCTGTGGTGAAATTTGAGACAATAATATGAACACTTTCCTTTGGCTTTTTTATTATCGCACATACATACCATTATTTGGACCAACATTTGCATCTTCGAACCTGCAATAACAAAGGAATACAATTAGTAGAGATATTCCTGTCTTAAGAGGACCGGTGGTCACATCCGTCTGTCGTCTGTGGAAATCACTCTAGCTTCCGAACGAAATGAAGTAGGTTGATAAAATTTTACTCAAATTTGTATTATGTCTGCAGGACTTTTGGTATTGAAAATGGGCCATGTAAGTCCACGTCTTCGTATAGCCCCCATATAACGGTACCTCACGATATTCGGTATTTTGATGATTTTAGAAACGTTATTTACCGAAATTGTTTCAAATTTCGCATTTGAAGTTCGTAATGGATACCACAGCCTATGACAGAAAATTGTCTGTGCAGGTCCAGGTCTTCGTATAGCCCCCATATAACGGTACCTCCCGATATTCGGTATTTTGATTATTTCAGCAACATTATACACCGGAATCGATTTAAATTTCGTGTTTGAAGTTCGTAATGGATACTACACCCTAGGACAGAAAATGAGCCATGTAGGTCCACGTCTTCGTATAGCCCCCATATAACGGTACCTCCCGATATTCGGTATTTTGATGATTTTAACGACGTTATTTACAGGAATTGTTTCAAATTTTGTATTTGAAGTTCGTAATGAATACTACAGCCTATGACAGAAAATTGTTTGTGCAGGTCCAGGTCTTCGTATAGCCTATATGGGGGCTATACCCCGATATTCGGTACCCCCCGATATTCGGTATTTTGATGATTTTAGCGACATTATTTACCGGAATTGTTTCAAATTTCGCATTTGAAGTTCGTAATGGATACTACAGCCTAGGACAAAAAATGAGCCATGTAGGTCTACGTCTTCGTATAGCCCCCATATAACGGAACCCCCTAAATTCGGTATTTTTATGATATTAGAGACATTATTTCCCGGAATTGTTCCAAATTTCGCATTTGAAGTTCGTAATGGATACTACAGCCTGTGACAGAAAATTGTCTGTGCAGGTCTACGTCTTCGTATAGCCCCCAAGTAACGGTACCCCCGGTATTCGGTATTTTCATGATTTTGGCGACGTTATTTACAGGAAATGTTTCAAATTTTGTATTTGAAGTTCGTTATGGATACTACAGCCTATGACAGAAAATTTTCTGTGCAGGTCCACGTTTTCGCATAGCCCCCGATATTCGGTATTTTTATGATTTTAGCGACATTATTTACCGGAATTGTTTCAAATTTCGCATTTGTAGTTCGTAATGGATACTGCAGCAGGTCCACGTCATCGTATAGACCCTAATATACGGCTACATTCGATGTTTTTAGATTTTAACAGAATTTTTAACGGATTTTATTTTATTTATTTATTTATTTATTTATTTTTTTTTTTTTTTTTTGAAAATTGCCAAATTTGTACAACATGGTGGAGGTTATTCAAAATTCGGCCCGCCCGAAATTACTGCATTCTTACTTGTTTTCTCCTAAAATATCTTCTTCAATTAATTTTTCTAACTTACCTTCTGTATAAATTCTGCAAAAGACCCTTCATTTCACCCAATTCTGTTACGATTTTCTGACGCATCGCCACATCATCGGGGACACTAGCAACCGCATTCTAAAAAAGAAGTTATCTCTTTATAATTCACAATTTCGAATTCTCAAAAAACAGGACATCATTTTTTACCTCCGTACGACCAATAAAAAGTTTACAGGCGAACAGTATTACAAAGACCAAATGCAACGCTTTAAGTCGTCCGAACATTTTGAAAGTCAACTATTGAATGAGTAGAGACGGAGACTTAATGTCACCATGAAAATGTTGCATATCTTCAGAAAACCAGCTGCCATCAATTGAATCAAATGAAATTATGCATCAAATCAAAATTCATAATTCTTATTTAAGAAAGCCAAAATGCAATGCAGGTAAGTAGGCACAAATGGCCTTTCTATGCCTATCGTAAATTATGTTAATTGAAGGGTACTCCTCTTGTGCAACGTTGAGTGGTTTGCCATACTTATCATACATTGTACATGGATGATGGTGGATTATGGTTATTCATCTATCAAACCAATGTCAAGTGCAAAATGCAACATGAACAAGTGCCAATTACTGCATGAACAACTGAAAAATTATCTGATTATCTTATCTTCATTTTTATTTCAAAAAATTGAAAGGAATTTGACGGAAGAAAAGAGGAACATCAGCAGAAAGGTTCGAAAAATAAAGAAGCGACTTGATCAAAACCCGCATCGCAGTGTCCGAAAAATGGCTCGTGAGCTGAACATATCGCAATACTCCATTCGACAAATTTTGAAAATTGAACTCCAGGTAAAGCTATTGAAATTACAACAAATTCCAACATTTGGAACGAATTTGGCAATTCTCAAAAACAAAAAAATTCGTTAAAAATTCTGTTAAAATCTTAAAAATACCGAATATAGCTGTTACATTAGAGTCTATACGACGACATGGATCTGCATAGGTAACTTTTGTCATAAGCCATTATAATATTCAAATGCGAAACTTGAAAAAAATTCGGTGAATAAAGTAGTTAACATCATCAAAATACCGAATATCGACAGGTGCAGTTATATGGGGGATATACGAAGACGTGGACCTGCACAGACAATTTTCTGTCATAGGCTGTAGTGTCCATTACGAACTTCATATACCAAATTTGAAACAATTGAAACAAATACCGAATATAGGGAGATCCTAATATATGTGGGTCTATACGAAGACCTGGACCTGCACAGACAATTTTCTGTCACAGACTTTAGTTCCCATTACGAACTCTAAATTCGTAATTTGAAACAATTCCGGTGAATAATGTCGCTAAAATCAACAAAATACCGAATATCGAAAGGTACCGTTATATGGGTCCATACGAAGACGTAGACCGGCACCGACAATTTTCTTTAATAGGCTGTAGTATTCATTTCGAACTTCAAATACCAAATTTGAAACAGTTCTGGTGAATAATGTCGCTAAAATCATAAAAATACCGAATATCGGTAGGTACCGTTATATGGGGGCTATACGAAGACGTGGACCAGCACAGACAATTTTCTGTCTTAGGCTGTAGTATCCATTACGAACTTCAAATAACAAATTTGAAACAATTCCGGTGAATAATGTCGCTAAAATCAACAAAGAACCGAATATCCGGAGGTACCGTTATATAGGGGCTATACGAAGACGTGGACCTGCACAAACAATTTTCTGTCTTAGGCTGTAATATCCATTTTGAACTTCAAATACCAAATTTGAAAAAAATTCAAATGAATATTGTCGCAAAAATCAGCAAAATACCGAATATCCGGAGGTACCGTTATATGATGGCTATACCAAAACGTGGACCTACATGGCCCATTTTCAATACCAAAAGTCCTGCAGACATAATATACATTTGATTAAAATTTTATCAATCTATTTCAATTAGTTCGGAAGCTGGAGTGATTTCCACAGACGGGGAGAAGGGCGGACATCGCTAAATCGACATGCAATTTTATGCTGATCAAGAATATATATACTTTGTGGGGTCTAAAATGTATATTTCGAGTGGTACACACGGAATGACAAACTTAATATACCCTCCATATTATGGTGGAGGGTATAAAAGGATGTAGAACCAAGCTGTCCCTATTCAGGCAAAACACAAAGACCTAAAATGGTAAAGACTAGACAAAATGCATTTTGAGCAAATGGTTTGTGTCTACAATACATAGAGTAACAGCTTATTGCAGAGACATGTTAATATAAAAACCACAATTACAGAAACGGATAACAAATAAATATTTGAAAAATCCAAAATTTTGGTTTCAAAATTCTATTCCATGGGCCTTTCTGAAAATTTGCACATTGCCTTAGCGGTTTAAATCAGTTAACATTTGTAGCTATGTTGTTATGATATCGTAACAACAGACGTATTTTCACAGGGTTGCCATATTTTGACTCTGTCTTGTCCTATCTTTACACTTCTGCCTTTGCAAAACATATGCAACGTTTGTATGTATGTGTATTGTTTTGAATAATAACGACAAAAAAATTTTTAATTTTTTTTAAATTAAGGTTTTATCCGGATAAAAAGATGTGTGTGAATATGCTATGTATGTCGTAATGGCATTAGGTATGCTAAAGTAAGATAAACTAAGGTTTTTGTCACAAATAAACAAAACGTATCAAAGACCAAAACCTTTTTCCAACAATGCCCCATAATGAACCATATTCTTAAATTGGTTTAGCGACATCTACATTAATTAATTCGCACTTGGATCTTTCAGAGTTGCCAAACTTTAAATTTAATTTAATATTATCAGTCACGTTAATATTTGACTATGGAAAAACATAGGCATAGGAATTGTTAATAAGGGCTCCATCAGACAATATGGTTTTTTATACCCTACACCACATAGTGATAAGGGTATTATATCTTTGTGAATTTGTTTGTAACATCGGCGAGATAGAGTTACTTTTGGGGATCTTCACAGAATCACGTTTTGAGTCGATTCATGCATGTCAGTCCGTCTGTCCATGTATTTCTGTGAACAAAATGCAGGTCGCATTTATTATCCGATTGAGATGAAATTTACAAAACAATATTTTTTTGGCCCAAGGGTGGTAAGATATAGATATAGCTCTCATATATATCTTCAACCGAATTCGGGTTTATTATGCACCCAATTGGCACGAATTATGACCTTCAAACGGCCATTCCCGGCGAAGCGCTTGCTTGAGGTGATCAACACTTTGGTATTTTTTAGTGCCATCCTTGCTTTCCAAAATACTCCAGACACAATAGTCCAACGGATTGGTATCCGGAGAATTTGGTGGCCATTGTGCACTGGAAACGAATCGAGGAACCTTATTTTGTAATCATTCTTGGGTGGCGCAAGCTGAGTGCGATGGTGCTGTGTCCTTTTGAAATGTCCAAGGTCTGCGGCCAAAATGTTTGCGTGCCCAAGGCTTTAATGCATCCTTCAAAATAATTTCGCGATTAATACTAGCGAAGAGCGACCATCGGCTGTTATGGCGGCCCACACCATCACCATGACCGGCACTTGAGTTCTGGTGGCCAACCGAAGGTGCACATTTTCAGCTGACCTCTTTGGCAAGTGAACACGATAATTTTGTTTGTTTACAAACTGCTGAACAACGAATGTTTTCTCATCGGAGAAAACCGAATCCGGCAGTTCACCACTTTCGGCCAAGCGAAGCGACTCTTTAGTTCTTTTGAGTCTAGTTTCTTTCTGTTGAGGTAAAAGTTCTTGAACTTTTTGGAATGGCAATGGCTTCACCCCGAGCTCATTTTTCAATATTTGGCTAATGGAAACTTCGATATATTCAGCTAGAAGGCTGTAGCATCCATTACGAACTTCAAATACGACATCTCAAACAATTTCGGTGAGTATTGTACCTAAAATCGTCAAAATACCGAATATAGGGAGGTACTGATATATTTATACCTGTAATAACTCCTAATTGTACCATGGTCACAACTAAAATTCGTCCATATAAAACACGATGTATACAGCTTCCTAATATGGATTATTTGATCTTGCATTCTTAAAAAAAATTGCATATCATCTATCAGGTAGAGCTCACCATTAGTAGTAACGATATAATTTCCAGCATCTTGAAGAAGAGTGCATTGGTAGATTTTGCAATGAATCTGGCTGATCTTCACTCCGTTCATGTCCAACAATGTGAATTTGGTGCGAAATTTAGTCAATCTAGCCTCTTCAGTGCGGCGATTAAATTGACAAAAAATAGAAGAAACTGAAGATGTTTCATAGCGAATTAATACACAAACCGTGTTTGAGCTGTTTAAAACATAGTACAATAAGGAGATATAGCAGCTTCGTAAAACTGCTGGAATACAGCCCGCTTCCTGTCAGCGTTATTCAAAATTAGATGCAACAATTTGTTTGCATTTATTTTATATTTCTCCTCATTTTTTAAAATGAGTTAAATAGCACGAAAAATATATGAAGTGCCTGGATTTTCTCTCAAAAATATGATCTATACTGTTCAATATTTCATTTCCATGGAATATGTGATTAGTATCTATAAGAGGTGTCCCGCAATTTACATTTCTGCAAATCATTGATTTTGAATATATTTTGTTGTTATTTTTCAAAACAAATAAATACATAAACACAATTTGCATAAAATCGTCCACACTTAGAAAAAATTTTAATCAGATGGTAGCTCTACCATCCCTTTTTATTTAACCATTGGTTGAATTATATATTTAAAGATTTGTTTGTGACAGAAAGAGTAAATTTTGTAACATACGTAATTTGTAAAAAGTATTTGCAACTAAATTTAAACATTTTGTATACAATTTTCTTATAATTGAATGAATTGATTGGTTGCTACGGAACCCATCGTACATTGAACAGATATAAAACGTTTTCGACACTAGTTCCTTTGCATTTGCAGTAAACAAACAGCTGCTGGGTTGGGGAGAAATCATATTTTTAGAACCCTTCTTTTCGTGCGAATTTTTCGATCTATTAGAACCCTATTGCAATTGTTGTTTTTGCTTTGTTTTTCTCTTCGCCTTTGTTTTGTGTCCCTTTGTGTGTCAAAGGAATTTCAGGAATAAGTCTCAGTGAAATGAAAAATCTAAATTCCCAGCAAATTGAAATGTTTGAAACAATTTAAATCAATTACAAAACTAATACTAATTGTGTGTAATGCTACAAAATATTTCACTTTGTGTTATTAAAATCGAAATCGATTCACTATCATCTGACGATTCGGGTAAGAAAAAAAAAAGAAATTGTGCAAAATTTCAAAGTCCTGCAAAAATTGCTATTTATTTGTAGAGGACGCAGGTGCTGTTTCATCAGAACATCCCCATAATCCGCGTGTTCTTAAGGAACGCGAACGTGATCGTGGCCTAAGGAAATCCTCGCAAATCATCATTGAAACCTACACGAATAAATTGTGGTCGGAAATCGTTGCCGGTGACGACAAGGACGAAATGAGTTCGGTCAAGGATCACAAGAAATCATCGGCAGCCTTGACGGAAAAACGTCATCGTGAAATGCCCACCTCGAGTTCGTCACGTGAAACGACCCCGCTGGAAGAGGGCCAGTGTGCCTCGGAGCTGCCCAAGGAAATTGGTTTCTTTTCAGGCAATCCAAGTGTTGAAATTACAAATGGTATAATACATTTATATAAGAAAAAGTATGAGCGGAATTCTAGTTGTTGTAAGAAATAGAGCTAGTAATGTTTTTAATTTTTTGATTGCAGCGAACGCAAGGAAATCAAGGATGCACCCTCAAATCAACTCTGTCTCTTGGCTGTACCGGCCAGTTTGAGCTGCCATGATCTATTGAGTTTTGTTTCTCCATGTCACACGGAAATTCAACATATACGCATTGTTCGTGATGGCTGCCCAAATCAATTTATGGTCTTGTTGGAGTAAGTAGAGTCTTCCCCAAGAAGGTGTTAGTTTTAGGGGTAAAATTGTGTGTAGAACCTCCTGTGAGGCCCTTTTCATAAACAGTACAAAAAGTCGGCATATTTTACGTTTGGAGAACGATTGTGAGATTGCTTCCATTTTTACACAGGCTGTTCCTTAGAAGAATTGAAAGAGTCTTTTTTATCTATAGATATTCCTAAAATACCAATTGTCTTTAAGAGAAGAAAATGTAAAAAATCTATGCCTATGAGGACTGTATGGAGAAAGCAGTTGTCAAAATATTCTGCTAATAGAAGTTGTTTTTTTATGAAAGCTTCTAAAGTACCTTTCGTCCATGGAAGACATTTAAAAGATCTGCTGTTTATAGTATATCTAACTATCCTCGAATTATGAAAGGCATCCTCTCCCTAGAAATCATGTAAAAGTCTTAAAAGTCCTTCGATCTATAGAACTGTAACAGATCTGCAGAAGAACTACAAATTTTTAGGATTGTAGAAACCCTTTGAAACATATCGTTTTAATATTACCCGTATAGGTATCCTATCTACCGAGGTCCTGTAATATGACTCGTATTTATAGACACATTAAAGGTATTCTTTCCGTACACCTGTGAAAGGTATTCTGCCTTTCAAAGACTTACAAAAGTATTTTGTCTTAAAAAAACGTGTAAAAGTCTTCGGTCTACAAAAGATCTGCAACAATTCTTTGGTGAACAGAATGTTATGAATGGTTGGGACAAAAAAAAAAGAGTTCTCCTATCCACATAAGATCTGTGACAGGAATCACATTTGAAGAAGACCTATTAAAGCTACCCTTTCTGTGCCGGACTTTCATATATAGAAGGTGTTTCAAGGGTCTTCTATGATGTTATTGTTAGAGGGCCTTCTTGTCAAGTCATTTATGAGAAGAGTATGTCAAGAAGTTCTCCTATCTGTTAGAGTACTTTAAAGTAGTATTTTATTATACACTCCACCTTGGAAAGGAGGGTATATTAACATTGTGATTCAGTTCAGAAAAAGTCATCGTAGACCCCATAAAGTATATATATTCATAAAAAATCGACATAAAAGTCGATTTAACGATGTCCGTCTGTTGGAAACACGACACAGCCCACATTATTTGACGTAGATATTCAAAATTTGGCAGAACAATTTGTATTGTGTCGAGGATGGTTGGTACTGAAAATTATATATATCGGTCCACGGTATAGCCGCCATATAACGGTACCTCCCGATATTCGGTATTTTGATGATTTTCGCCACATTTTTCAACGAATTCGTCTAAAAAGTGACATATATAAGTCATAATGGGTTCTAGTTTTACATCCGGAACATTGCATGTATAGGTCCATGTTTTCGTACAGCCCACATATAACGGTACCTCCCGATATTCGGTATTTTGATGATTTTTGCCATTTTTCACAGATTTGTCTAAAAATAGGTCTTTGTGGTTGATAATGGGTTCTAGCTCGTGTGGCGAAACATTTTATGTATAGGTCCATGTTCTGGCATAGCCCTAATATAACCGTATCTCCCAATATTCGGTATTTTGATGATTTTAGCGACATTATTCGCCGGAGTTATTTTAAATTCCGTATTTAGAGTTCGTAATCGATACTACAGCCTATGAGAGAAAATTGTATGTGCGGGTCCACGTCTTCGTATACTCCCTATATAAGGGCACCTCCCGATATTCGGTATTTTGATAATTTTAACTTGGTATTTGAGGTTCGAAATGGATACTACTGCCTATGACAGAAAACTGTCTGTGCTTGTCCACGTCTTCGTATAGCCCCCATATAACGGCACCTCCCGACCTGACAGATTCAGCGGAATTGTTTTAAATATGGTGTTTGGGGTTCGTAGTGGATACTTCAGCCTATGACAGAAAATTGTCTGTGCAGGTTCAGTATTTTTAATTGTTTCTAAAAGAGGAACTTCTCTTACCCCTTGTTTTGAAATACATCATTGATTTATTGAGCAAAACTAAATACTCCTTCCTCGACCTTCTTCTTTTCAGATTTCGTTCAAATTCATCAGCATTGGAATTTTATCAAACCTACAATGGCGCAGCATATAATTCTTTGGAACCAGATTCCTTGTGTCATGCTGTATGGGTATCGGAGGTTGAAAAGGGTGAAGATGGCCTGCCACCATTGGGTCACACAGAACTGCCCACTTGTCCCGGTAAATTAATTTAAAAACTCCCTCAAATAGTCACTCAATATTCTTCTTTTATTCACAGTTTGTCTGGAGCGCATGGATGAGAGTGTTGACGGTGTCCTGACCATACTGTGTAATCACGCTTTCCATGCCAATTGTCTCATCAAATGGGGTGATTCCACCTGTCCCGTTTGCCGTCATGTTCAGACTCCCGAGCTGATGGAAAATTCCGTTTGCATGGAATGTGAGGGCACAGATTCATTGTGGATTTGTTTGATATGCGGTCATGTGGGATGTGGACGTTATCAGGGTGGACATGCTGCCGCCCATTATCGTGCCACAAATCACACTTTTGCCATGCAATTGGGTACCTCATCGGTATGGGATTATGCTGGTGATAATTTTGTTCATCGTCTATTTCAAAATAAAACCGATGGCAAATTGGTGGCCACTCAGGCACCCAACGATGAGGGGGAGGAGAAAATCGATTCAATACAATTGGAATTTACATATCTGCTAACATCTCAGCTGGACACACAGCGCAAGTATTACGAGGAACGTATGGAACATTTGGAGAAGGAATGGCGTGATTTTCGCTCCACACTTGAGGGAGCCCATGGCAAAATAGCCGATATGGATCAGCGTATCCAGGCATTGACCAAAGAAAAACAGACACTGGAGAGGAAATTGCAACAGAATAATACCAAGTGAGTCAGGGAAGGGAAATTGTATAATTTAATTTTAATATTTTTTCTTTTTTGTAGGCTCAAAGAGGTGCAAAAACAATTGGTCGAAGAACAAGAAATATCTCGTGCCTTACAAAACAACCAGACATGTTGGCACACCAAATACAAACAATTGGAAAAGGAATACAAAGAATACAAGGAAACGAAGGAAACTGAATTGAGTTCCATAAAGGAACAACTACGTGATATTATGTTCTATATGACGGCACAAAGTCAAATTGCCGAATCCGAGCTAAAGGAAGAAATTGCAGGAGGCACTGTGGTATTGCCAGAGGCGGCAGCCACAACAAGTGGTGGTTCAGCACAGAAAAATCGTCGTAAAAAGAAACATTAAGGTATTGGCGGACTGTAGCGTAAACTGAAAACAATTCTGTTTCCAATTCTGTTGGTATTGGTTTAAAGGTCATGGTATTGGCGTTTATTTTTATGTGATGGTTGGCGTGTTGCCTCTAATCAAAGTTGTATGTGAAATCACCGCATCCATAGAGACAGATGATTTATCTTCAACAAATACTAATGTATTTTAGCTTTTTATATGTTTATATTTATTATTAAAAATGAGTTTGAATTGAAAAAAATACATCAATATTTGTTTATTTCTTTTGGAGCTGAAAATCCTTATCAATTCTTTCGTGTGAAATGAAAATCCACATCTTCAACATAATGTCTCCTAAATACGAATACATTTTGTTGTTCTGTATAACATAGACTTGTCGTATTCTTCTCTGTATAAGATACACTATTGGTATTATTATAAGGCGAAATTTATCGCCTTGATATATGGAGACTTCTCGGTATATAAGAAAACTTTTGTGTGGGACACCACCTGCAGAAGGGAAATGAATAGTGGACACGGAAGGCCGTATGCTGTTCTTTTTACACCCTCCACCATACAGGGAGAGATGCAAAAACTGCAACAAAAGTCAAACGCCATTATTTTTACTTTTTTTTAAATTTTATTAAATGAAAGCATAAAATGTCGGAAATAGCATCAAATTTTAGAATATGTTTAGATTTGTTCGAATTGGTCACCTTTGGGACGAATTATGGCTTCAAACGGCCAATAAAACCGTCACACCCTGCCGGAATGTTGCTCTGCGGTATTTTGGCCGATTCCTGGCGAAGCGATTGCTTGAGGTGATCGACACTTTGGTATTTTTTAGTGCCAACCTTGCTTTCCAAAATACTCCAGACACAATTGTTCAACGGATTGGCATCCGGAGATTTTGGTGGCCATTGTACGCTGGAAATTAAGCGGGGAAAATCATTTTGTAACCATTCTTGGGTGGCGCGTGCTAAGTGCGATGGTGCTAAGTCCCTTTGGAATGTCCAAGGTCTGCGGCCAAAATATTTGCGTGCACAAGGCTTTAATACACCCTCCAAAATATTTTCGCGATAATATTCGGCATTTATTCTGATGCCACGGTCGATTAATACGAGCGGAGAGCGACCATCGGCTGTTATGGCGGCCATCACCATGGAGTTCTGGAATTGTTTCAATTTTGGTATTTGAAGTTTGTAATAGATACTACAGCCTAAGACAGAAAATTGTCTGTGCAGGTCCATGTCTTCGTATAGCCCTCATATAACGGCACCTCCCGATATTCGGTAATTTGCTGATTTTAGTGGCATTATTTACCGGAATTGTTTCAAATTTGGTATTTGATGTTCGCAATGGATACTATAGCCTATGACAGAAAATTGTCTGTGCAGGTCCATGTCTTCGTATAGCCCTCATATAACGGCACCTCCCGATATTCGGTAATTTGCTGATTTTAGTGGCATTATTTACCGGAATTGTTTCAAATTTGGTATTTGATGTTCGCAATGGATACTACAGCTTATGACAGAAAATTGTCTGTGCAGGTCCATGCCTTCGCATAGCCCCCATATAACGGCACCTCCCGATATTCGGTATTTTGATGATTTTAGCGACATTATTCACCGGAACTGTTTCAAAATTGGTATTTGAAGTTCGTAATGGATAATATAGCCTACGACAGAAAATTGTCTGTGCAGGTCCACGTCTTCGTATAGCCCTCATATAACGGTACCTCCCGATATTCGGTATTTTGATTTTATCGAAATTATAACCGATTTTTTTATGTTTCGCATTTAAATATTGTAATGGCTTATGACAAATGTTACCTACGAAGGTTCATGTAGTCGTATAGACCCTTATATAATAGCTACATTCGGTATTTTTAAGATTTTAACAGAAGTTTTAACGGATTTTATTGTTTTTGAGAATTGTCAAATTCGTCCCAAATGGTGGAGGTTATTCAAAGTTCGGCCCGGCCGAGCTTACAGCTTTTTTACTTGTTGAATATTGTAATGGCTTATGATAAAAGTTGGCTATGTAGGTACACTTCGTTGTATAGACCCAAATATAACGGCTACATTCAGTATTTTTAAGATTTAAACTGAGTTTTTAACAGATTTTATTGTTTTTGAGAATTGTCAAATTCGTCCCAAATGGTGGAGGGTAATCAAAGTTCGGCCCGACCGAATTTACAGCTTTTTTTATTTGTTTTATACATCCCACAGAAATACCTTTGAGAGCTCTTATTAATTTGACCTTGTATCGTCGAAAAGAAAAGTTAAAATTTTCTTTTAGGTATGGTATTGAGAAAAGTGATTTCCTAGGGTATTGGATTTTTTATTTTTATATTTTAATATAGAATAATATACTTTTGAAATGTTTGATTTTTTATTTTTTTATACAAAGATTTTTAATTTTTTTTATTTAGATGGGAGTAGTTTAAAAATTTATAATTTATAAACATGTGCTGTAATTTTCACGAATTTTGTACAGAGATAAACAGATAAGTAAATTAAATAATTAGAAAATTTCAATATAATAAAATAAAATAAGTATAACATTACGTACCAATGACAATGACAGTTTCTTAAACAAAACTTAAAATAACTTGTTTTTATTCTTAAAATTAATTTCTACCAACAATGGCTTGTATTAGCAATTGAACAAAACTGAAAAGGAATAGTATCACCAAAGACATTATCAGCAACTGAGTTTGATCCAAATTAAAGGGCGATATGTTGTTATCGTTTTGTTGCGCAGATGTGGCGAATGACGTTGGAAAACAAGAATTTTGATTACCACCCTTAAACTGGCTTAGAAGTTCATTTAATCTGTTAAAATGGAAAAGATGCATTAAATGATTTTAAAAATAATATCGGTTTGAAATTGAAACTACTCTTTATGACAAAATTCCAATTTTTTTAAATAAAACAAACAGTAGAATATGAAATTAGAACTAAAAACAAGTAAGTAAAGGCTACAGTCGAGCGGGGCCGACCGTTGAATACCCTACAACACTATAATAAACGATACAGTTTATATAGGCTAGATACTCGAAAGAATTCCAAAGATATTGTGACAAATAATAAAAGAAAACCATCAGGTTCCGTTCTCTAATTTTCGAATAAAAGCAACTTAAACTAATTTGCTCATTTCCAATTTATTGGTAGATTATGCACGTAAATGGTCTTCCTAGATCTGGAACCAATATTTCCCAAAGACCTATAATCTCTCAGAAGTGGCAAAAGATTAACATTTATTATTTGTTTTTGAACGAAAAGCATCTATATGAGATACAGACATTTGACTATATTCTTGAACGAAATCAGCGCTAACGAAATAGTCAGAAGTGCGTCTTTCCTGTATTTGTGAATTCTCCAAAAAGTCACTGGAATGGACATTTTCGTATTTTGTCTACAAAAGTTGGCAAACTCCTTCACACATTGAATAGTTTTGGATGGCCATCCAAAACTGCTTGGCTTTTGCAATGTCCGGTAACCCCCATTCAAATGTGAGTGAGGATCGGGCGATAATTACGACCTGCAGACAATTTTTCACTTTTTGGTCTATTTCAACCCCTAAAAAGAGTAGGCTTTTATTCTGACCCTCATCTTATCCCCATGCAAAATTTCGTATGGATCGGGCCATAAATTCGATCTGTATATGATATCCTGATATTCTAACTACTTAGTTTTGTTAGCTGTAGAAATATTACCAAATGTTTAATTCAAAATGAAAATATGCCAAAAATATGACAAAATTGAAAAAATATGAGAACATTTTACAAAATCAATATTTTCATCTTTAGAGAGATATTTTTATGCGATTTTTAGACGTTTTTTCTTTCCTGCCAAGAGGCCATTCTGAATGAATGAGAACTGTCGAAATCAGTTCAGCCGTTCTCGACATATAAGAGATTTTCCAAGCATATCTTCTTTGATAGACACATATATCGCACATATTTTGCTATATATCCGATTTTTTTGGATGTTAACATCAGTGTAAAGATCAGAAGTAACCTTGTCATGGCTTCGTGATTTCACCGGGATTTAAAATATTCGCGGTTTAATGAAAATTTTAAAATTTTTTCAACATAAAAGATATTGTCTATTTTACCCGCTAAATATTATCCGATGACCACTCAAATTGGTAGGCTTCTTCCCCGCCCTAAACTCTAGCTACATGCGAAATTCCGCTTCGATTGATCTATAATTGCGACCTGTATAGCTACTGCAAAATCCTACATTTTTTCAGTATTTGGTCCATTTCAATACCTAAACATCTGGCGATCATCTCCAAAAGAAATAGGCTTCTATTCTCGCCCGAACCCCACCTTCGTGCAAAATTTCGTTAGGATCGGGCCATAATTGCGACCTGTAGCGTGATTACAAATTAACATGGAAAAACGGACGGACGGACATACATAGCTAGATCGACTCAGCTCGGCGAGCTAGGAAGATCCATATATACTTTCCTATGTGGGAAATCAATATTTCGAGGTGTTACATAATTTTTGGCCCAATCAAACTTATAATACCCCCAACACATAGTGTTGTAGGGTATAATTAAAGACATGGATCGGCGTTATTTCGAGTATCTTCACCATATTTCTCAATCTATTTGGCTTTTTATTTATATCTATCTTTCTCAAGGCATAGAATACCCCTTTACAGTAAATTCCAATATAAGGGACTGCCATGACCCAATTTTAAACCAATTATTCATGAAGTTATCCAAATTTCTCTTTAATTTTCTCCATTTTAAATGTTGCAAAAAGTAGCTGTTGATATTGGTCAAAAATGTCTCTCTAAACTCTTTTAGGTTTTGATCCACAAAACATATACTATGAAATCCAATCGGAATTTCGTACGCCCCATATTGGCACATTAAAATTTGCATCAATTTCGAAAAAAAATTAAATATGTCGAAAATAAAAAATACTATATGTTGGGGTATTATAAGTTTGATTGGGCCAAAAATTATGTAATACCGCGAAATATTGTCCTAGACCCACGATGTTGTATATCTATTGCCAACATGAGTTGATCTAGCTATGTGTGTCCGTCGTCCGTCTGTTCATGTTAATTTGTAATCACGCTCAGGCAATTATGTTCTAATCCTCACGAAATTCTGTATGAAGGTAAAGGTATGATCAGAATAGAAGCCTATTGCTGGGGGATATGATCTCAAAATATTTAGGGGGTGAAATTGAAATTGCTTTCTTTTTGTTTTTGTTGATTTTGCTGGTCACAATTGTATACCAATCGAAGCGTGGGACAGGACAGAGCCTACCAAGGTTGAAATGGACCATAAATTTTTGGAAATCCAAAATTTCCATTTAACGGGGAATATATTTAATGCTGAAAGTCACTTTCCGACGAAATCACAAGTTCATAAAGGTCGGACATCTGGCCTCTACATTGATGCTAATTTCATAGGCTTATATGGTCTGAAATCGGAAAGAAAAGTATACACATGAATAAAAGTTGTTTCGAATTCCCATAAGCACGACAGAGGACGTAAATAGCCAAGGTAATTATGGCGAAATATCGGAATCGATTTTCACTAAATTTGAAGGATTATATTAAAAAATATGCATCGGAGCCAAGTTCCACCAAATGGAAACGTACGCCCCGAAATTCACCCCATTTGGGTAGATATTAGCCATTATTTGCACAATAAACCCGAAATCGGACTAAGGATATATATGGGAGTTATATGCAAATCTGTGCCGATCTCGATAAAATTAGGCAAAGGTATTTCTGCGTTGTATCTGACATCTAGTACCAAATATAATTTTTTTGAAGTACATATTACGAATGTGAGGCACTAAAAGACCAAATCGGTCGACTCATATATATGAGATCTATAACTATATCTTAGCCGATTTTAACCAAATCTGATATACTTGGTTCTAGACTGAATTCAGTCGGATGTGCCAAAATTGAGGTCATTTGGACTGATATTGGCCATTTGGTGCACAATTAAACTGAAATCGGTTGAAGATATATAATAATATCCAAATCTGAACCGATATTGATAAGATTTGGCAAAGTCATTTTCGGGCTGTATCTGATGTCCGGTATCAAATATCATTCTTTTGGAGTACATATTACGAGTGTGAGTACTAAAAAACCAAATCGGATGACTCGTATATATGGGATCTATAGGTATATCTGAAACGATTTTTTTAGTGTCTGTTTCTAGGATGAATCCAGTCTGAATTCTTAAAATTCAGTCCATTTGGGCTGATATTAGCCATAAACCTGATACCATATAAATATATAAATATGGGAGCTATATCCTAATCTTATCCGATCTCGATAAAAATTGAAAGAGGTATTTTTGAGCTCTATAAGTTATCTGGTACCAAATATCATTCTCTTGGAGTGCATATTACGCATGTGAGGGACTTAAAACCCAAAATCGGATGAAACATATATATGGGATCTATAGCTATATATGAAATTCGATGTACTTGCTTCTAGACTGAATTCGGTCGGATGTGCCAAAATTCAGGTCATTTGGACTGATAATGGCCATTTGGTGCACAATTAACCCGAAATCGGTTGAAGATATATGTGGGAGCTATATCTAAATTTAAACCTATTCTCACCAATTTCAATAGGGTTCGTCATTGGGCCAAACAAATATTGTTTGGAAAATTTAATCTCAATCGGATAATAAAAGCGACCTGCATTTTGTTCACAAAAATACATGGACAGACGGGCGGACTGAAATGCATAAATCGACACAGAGGAGTCGTTACTCAAGAGTGACTATGGGTCTATCTCGCTTCCTTCTCCATGTTACAAACAAATGCACAATCCACTATGTGGTGTGGAGTATAAAAATGTTGAGGAAGGCGGTGTTGCACCTCTATTTAATTTGTAGACGGTACGGTGAGCACCATTTCCATAACAACATATTTTTAGCAAAATTAAATTAAGATAATTATTGGTGGGTTTATCTCATTCGGTACTTGCTAGTAAGGGTTAACGTTATTCAAAAAGAAACATAAATTTCATACACGGGATTCTCCTAGGAGGTCCAATCCATTTGCAACTCCTTGGAATACACATTTTAGGCCTCACAAAGTATATTCTTGAACTTCACAAAATGAGATGTAGATTAACTCATGTCCGTTTTGCTGTGGACTACTCACTATGATTTCTGAACAGAATAATATTTGGTATTTTTTGGATTTTTGGCAAATTTTTTAGCGGAATTGTTTTTGCTTTCACGGGCATACATTTTTCTAAAAAGGTCAACGTTTTTACAGCCTCCATATAACGAAAGCTCCCGATACTTGGAACTGAATGATTTTAGCCACAATTTTTTAAAATAATTGCTTTAATTTTCGGTTTTTGAATTTGTAAAAGGTAACCTCCCCTCTTTATAGATCCAGGGTTTCGCCTATCCCTCACTAATGGTACCACCGGACTTATAGATATAGTTTTTTAAATTCCACCTTGAAAAGGAGAGTATATTAACTGTGTCATTCCGTTTGAAACAATCCTTAATATTCGTCGTAGACCCCATAAAGTTTCTTTTAAACTTGTCCGCCCAGGACGAATTGTTATATGTAAAGCATTGGAACAGTGAATATCTCACTTTGTCAGCTCTTTACTTACTTGCTATCATGTTCCATTAATTTACTCTCCAACAATTTCTTTTCCTCGCTCAATGTGATCAGACGCTGTTCGATGGAGATCATTTGACGATTGGTTTCTTTTAATTGGCAAAAAGTCTTCCATTCATTTTCCAAGCACTGGATACGTTTCTCATACATCTGTTCTGGGGGGCTACCAGGTTGTAGTTCAACATTTAACAGAGTGCCTGAAGTAGATTTTTGCCTCGTGCCGCAGTCTCGATTGCAAAGACAGCGATGAATGTATTGGTCCAGCTTGTAATCCCAAATACTAAATATTTTTAAGTCCATAACCTGACAGTGGCCAAGTTCTTCATTGTGCCTAAGAGCATGGCCATTTAAATAACGTGCACACCCGACATGATTGCAGGTTAGGCAAAGCCATAGGCCCTCTTTTTCGCTGCATGACATGCATGTAATCGGAATGCTGGTGGCATCGCAGTTTAGTTTTGGTATTTTGTAATATTCACAAATAGGACACTGGCATTGCGGGCGACATTTCTCCTCCGACTTTCTGGCGTTGGCTGAAAAGATCATTAAGCTCGTCTCAAAAGAGAAAACAAACACATAAATCATAAAACATATGATCTTCGCCTTAACAAGGCAAAACTGAAAAATTTACTTTTGAAACTAGCATCAACTATTTTGGTTCTGAAAAACTTACATATGACAGCATCATAACGATTCCTCTTATAATTCCAGACCTGAAAATTTTTCAAGTTCATCGACAGTCCATGTCCGGTATTAAAGTAATGCTGTAGAGCATGTCTGTTTTTATGGCGCGAACACCCAATGTGACCGCAGCTCAAGCAAAACCATAAACATTCCGATTCTGGACATTGCATACAGCTAACTGCATTTTTAGTGCATTGCTGGCCATAGGCTTGGAAGTCATTTGCCATATCTGCTTCCATTTGACAAAAAGCTATTTAATTATCCAATTCGAAGATATCAATTAAGGGCGCGTAAAAAGGTTCGACAATTGTAAATGTCAACTGAGATGTCATTTCAAATCTGTTCATTCCATGGGAGCCTTGTGATCGTGTTGATGTTATTGTTATTGTAGTGAGCCAAATTGTCATGTAATAACAGCTGATGGATCCCGTTGAAATGTAGACATTTGTGTACCCTTCACCAACTATAAATGCTATAAGGAGTAGATTATGTTTTTCATTCCGTTTGTAATACCGCGAAATAAGGTAGGTGTACCATTGGTCGAAACTTTTAGGATTTTCGCTTCTTTAATTTTTATACCCATCACCATTCTGTTTGTAACACCTCGAAATATACATTTTTAGACTCCACAAAGTATACATATTCTTGATCAGCATAACATTCCATGTCGATTTAGCGGTGTTCATCCGTTTGTCCGTCTATCCGTCTCTAACTTCCGAAAGTATGTTATGTTCTGTCTGCAGGACTTTTGGTATTGAAAATGGGCTATGTAGGTCCACGTTTTAGTATTGCCTCATATAATGGTACCTCCATTTTTTAGGCATTTTGGTGATTTAGGCGACATTATTCACCGGAAATGTTTCAAATTTGCTATTTGAAGTTCGTAATGGGTACTACAGTCTATGACAGAAAATTGTCTGTGTGTGTCCACGCCTTCGTATAGCCACCATATAATGGCACCCCCCGATATTCGGTTCTTTGGTGATTTTAGCGACATTTTTCATCGGAATTGTTTCAAATTTGGTATTTAAAGTTCGGAATCGGAACTACAGCCCATGGAAACAAATTACTAGTGCACATGGTACAATAAAAAGGTAAGGTAGAGCTACCAGCTGATTAGATTTTTTTTTAAGTGTGCCCGATTTCTGCCAATTTTGTGTAGTCTTTATTGTTTTGAAAAAGAAAATAACATATTTTCAAAACCAATGAAAGGAAGACACGTACATTGCGGCTCCGTGCTTTAAACTTATAACCAGTGCTAGTACACGTATAGCCCACATATAATTAGATTTAAACGCTCTTTCTTTTCGATTTTTATACCCTCCCATACATACAGGGTGAGATAAAAAAACTGCAACAAGTCAGACGCCATAATTTTTACATTTTTTTCAATTTTATTGAATGAAAGCAAAAAATGTCGGAAATACATCAAATTTTAGAATAAGTTTAGATTTTTTCGAATTGGTCACTTTTGGCACGAATTATGGCCTTCAAGCGGCCAATGCAACCGTCACACGCTGCCCGAATGTTGCTCTGCGGTATTTTGGTCCATTCCCGGCGAAGCGCTTGCTTGAGGTGATCGACACTTTGATATATTTTAGTGCCAACCTTGCTTTCCAAAATACTCCAGACACAATAGTACAACGGATTCGTATCCGTAGATTTTGTTGGCCATTGTGCGCTGGAAATGAAACGAGGAACCTCATTTTGTAACCATTCTTGGGTGGCGCGTGCTGAGTGCAATGTTGATGAGTCCTACTAGAATGTCCAAGGTCTGCGTCCAAAATTATTGCGTGCCCCTTTAATACACCTACACCCCCAGAATAATTTCGCGATAATATTCGGCAGTTATTGTGATGCCACAATCGATTAATACGAGCGGAGAGCGACCATCGGCTGTTATGGCGGCCCACACAATCACCATGGCCGGCGCTTGAGTTCTGGTGGCCAACCGAAGGTGCACAGAATCAGATCAGATCTCTTTGGCAAGTAAACACGATCATTTTGTTTGTTTAAAAACTGCTGGACAACGAATGTTTTCTCATCGGAGAAACCCAAAAACAAAATGTTGGAATTGCAATGGCTTTACACCGAACTCATTTTTCAATATTTGCCGAATGGAATATTGCGATATGTTCAGCTCACGAGCCATTTTTCGGCCACTGCGACGCGGATTTCAATAAAGTCGCTTGTTTTTGCTTTTCGAACCATTTCTGCTGATGTTGCTGTTTTCTTCCGTCTTCTTCCTTGACGTCGGGCTACGCTACCAGTATCACGGTAACGAGCGAGAGTACATTTAAATGCTGGAGTGTTCTAACCATGGCCACTTGTGATTTTCCAGCCAAATATAAGGAAATCACACTATCACGCTTAAATTCCATCACGAATAACTTCTTTTCTGGAATATTCTCACCAAAATGCTTTTGTAAGTATATATATATTCTCGATCAGCATAAAATTCTAAAACGATTTCGCCCTGCCGTCCGTCCCCCTATCCGTCTGTTGTAATCACGCTAGAGTCAAAACGAATTAAGACAAGAAGCTAAAATTTTGCACAGATCAGTCTTTTGTCTGTAGGCAGGTCAAGTTCGAAGATACCTCCCGATATTAGGTATTTTGATGATTGTAGCCAAACTTTTCAATGGAAATGTCTGAAAATCCATACAAGCAGTTACTTCTGAGTATTTTACCTCCTGGAAGGGAATTGTCTATATAGCCCCCATACAACGGTACCACCGATATTTGGTATTTTTATGATTTTAACCATATTTCCAATGGAATGTCTGAAAATCCACACAAGGAGTTCTTTTAGTACTTTACCCCCTGGAAGAGAATTAGCTATAAGGTCTACGATATAGTATATCCCCCAAATAACGGCTTTCCTTTGAACGGTATTTCCGACTGATTTTTTGGAATTGAAAAGTTTCCAAAAAATTCCTTTAAAATTGTGTGTTTTTTTTTAATTTTTCAATTTCCTTCCAAATGGAGGAAGGTTTTAAAATTTCGGCCCAGCCGAACTTGGGCGCTTTTTTACTGGTTTCATTTCGAATTCTGTCTTTCACACTTAAATACATTTAAATATTTTTCACAATTTATTTAAAAAATCATACCTCTGTTTTAGTCTTCATTAACTCAAAAGGATAACGTTAGTTTCCTTCGACAAATATTTTGAGGTTTTTCAAATTAAATGGCCCATTTTTTATAACTTCTAGCTCATGGAGGGTAGCAGTATCAAAAGCAAATAAGGTTATTGATGTTGAGTACCTTGGAGCAAGCTTCAATTCTTTTATTTTTTTTTATTTAAGTCAAGCTGCTGTAACTAGTTCTTTGTAAATCATGTTGTATATACCCTACAATACTATGTGTTGGGGGTATTATAAGTTTGATTGGACCAACAATTATGTAACACCTTGAAATATTGGTTTTCCACATAGGAAAGTATATATGTATCTTCCTATCTTGCCGAGCTGAGTCAATCTAGCTAAATGGTCCGTCCGTTCGTCTATCCATGTTAATTTGTAATCACTCTACAGTACAGGTGGGGCTAGGGCCAGAATAGGAGCCCATTGCTTTTGGAGATGATCGCATAATATTTAGGGGTTGAAAAGGGACCAAAAACTGAAAAATTGCTCTACAGGTCGTAATTATAGACCAATCGAAACGGAAGTTAGCATGGGGCTAGAGCTAAGGGCTGTGCAGAAGCCTTCCAATTTTAATGGTCATCGGGTAATATTTAGTGGGTGAAATAGACCATAACATTTGTGTTAAATAAAAGTCAAATTTTCCATTAAACCGCGAATATTGTTAATCCCGGCGAAATCACAAATAAAGGTAAAAAAAGGTAAATTCTGACCGTTACGTAGATATCGCGAGTAAATATATCGGATATATATATATAGCGAAATATATACAATGTGTACATACAAAGGAAGGGGATGTTAGCTTATATCCCAAGAATGGCTGGACCGATTTTGACAAATTTTGCCAATTTATAATGCCCTCTTGGCATAAAAGAATAAAAAGAATAAAATCTAAAAAAATCACATATTTTGTGACCTTTTTATTTTTCTACACCACAAGGTGGTCAGGGTATTATGTCTTTGTGCATTTGTTTGTAACAGGCAAAAGGAAACAAGATAGAGCCATAGTTCCTTTTGATGATCTGTCCGTCCGTCCGTCTGTCCATGTATTTTTGTAAACAAAGTACAGATCGCATTTATTGCCCTATCCAGATGAAATTTGGCAAAAATCATTTGTTTATCCCAAGGACGAACCCTATTGAAATTGGAGATAATCGGTCAAAATTTGCATATAGCTCCCATATATATCTTCGTCCGATTTGCCTTTTATTGTGCACCAAACGTGTAATATCAACCCGAATAGTATGGAATTTTGCACATACAACCAAATTAAGCCTGAAAATAAGTATGCCAAATTTGATCGAAATCGGTTCAGATATAGCTATAGCTCCCATATATATTTTTTATCCGATTTGCTATTTTTTGTCGTTCGCAGCCGTAATATGCACTTTGTAACAACAATATTTGGGGAAATATATCAAATACAGCTCAGAAATACATTTGCTAAATTTTATCGAGATCGGTTCAGATTTGGATATAGCTCCCATATTTTACTTCGTCCGATTTGCCTTTTATTTTGCAACAAACGTGTAATATCAGTTCAATTAGTATGGAATTTTGCACATACGATCAAATTTGGCCTGAAAATAAGAATGTGAAATTTGATCGAAATCGGTTCAGATATAGCTATGGCTCCCATATATATTGTTCATACGATTTATTATTTTTGTCCTCCACAGCCGTAATATGCAGTCCGTAACAACGATATTCAGGGAAATATATCAAATAAAATATTATCGAGATCGGCCCAGGTAGGATATAGCTCCCATATATATCTTCATCTGATTTTAAGTTAATTGTGCACCAAATGGGTAATACAAGACCGAATTGAAACGACACAAATGCCTCGGCAAATTTAGTCCTTTGGACTTTAAATTATAACTCTAATCATACTTGGTATGATATAATTCGTACAAATTAACCATAAAAACTTTTATTTTTTATGTGGAGCTCTACTATATGTAAAATGCTGTAGGGTATTATAAAATTAGCCCCGTCCGACTTTAAGAATTCTTTTATTTATACTGTAGTGGAGTTCTCTAACTCATTGTAAAAAAAATCGGTAAAATTAAAATTCTTATAATTTTGGTAATTAACGAAATTTGTCGGTACGTTAGCGACAAAATCAAAGAAGTTACTAAGACCAACAGATAGATGCCAATGTTGTCAACTTTAACTTCTTTTTTATATCAAAATTGGGGTTTCAA